TTTTATTGAACGCCTGAACACCTACGAAGGCAGCTTACTATGCTCCAAACATTGTTCTAATTACCTTACAAATGGTAACATTTAATTGAAGCCTCACAACGAGACCTGTGTGTTACAGATAAGGAAACTGAAATTCTGAAAGGTGAAGTTGTAACCGAGTTCAAACTCCTTCTGCTCCCTGCATGACAGCCACTCGGTCTAGAGGCCAGGAGTTGGAACAAGGAAAGCGACTTTATTTCGGAGAGCCAGCAAACCCAGATGGCCTAAATGTTCTAAAGAGCTCTCTTAGAATTATGTGGGCTTGGGCCGGACGCGGTGGCTCATACGTGCAACCAGCACTTTGGGAGGCTGAGGTGGGCGGATCACAAGGTCAAGAGATCGAGACCATCCTGGCCAACGTGGTGAAACCTCGTCTCTACTAAAAATAAAAAAATTAGCTGGGCGTGGTGGTGCGTGTCTGTGGTACCAGTTACTCAGGAGGCTGAAGCAGGAGAATAGGGTGAACCTGGGAGGCAGAGGTTGCAGTGAGCCGAGACCACACCACTGCACTCCGGCCTGGGCAACAGAGCGAGACTCTATCTAAAAATATATATATATATATATATATATGGGCTTGGCCTTGTCTTATATGTTAAGTAAACGGGGAAAGAAAGAGGCCAACTGCAGACATCTGGGTGCCGGCAAGGGTTGAGGGGGAGGTTGTGAAACTTCTTTGTCCTTGGATAATGGTCTCTCATGTGACAATAGCCAGATCTCCTTGTTCCTATAAGTCTTTAACAAAGTATAGTTGTCTACATACTTCCTCTTAATCCTAAAGTTAGTTTTGAAAACTATGTGATTTCTATTTCTGCATTTTATCTCAGTGGCTCTAAAATTATCCTAGCTTTCAAACAGGAATGGGTAAAGGCCCCTTAAACAAAAATGGACCAGTCTGGACAACATAGTCAATATAAAAAAATTTTTTAAAGATTAGCTGGGGTTGGATGCAGTGGCTCACGCCTGTAATCCCAGCACTTTGGGAGGCCGAGGCAGGTGGATCACCTGAGGTCAGGAGTTCGAGACCAGCCTGACCAACATGGTGAAACCCCATCTTTACTAAAAACACAAAAAGTAGCTGGGTGTTGGCGGGCACCTGTAATCCCAGCTACTCAGGAGGTTGAGGCAGGAGAATTGCTTGAGCCCAGGAAGTGGAGGCTGCAGTGAGCCGATATCACACCACTGCACTCTAGCCTGGGCAACAGAGCAGAACTCCTTTTCAAAAAAAATTAGCCAGGCATGATGGTGCATGCCTATAGTACCAGCTACTCGGGAGGTTGAGGCAGAAGGATCTCTTGAGCCCAGGAGTTCAAAGCTGCAGTGAGCTATGATTGCACCACTGCATTCCAGCCTAGGTGACAAAGCAAGACCCTGTTTTTTTTGTTTTTTTGTTTTTTTTTTTTTTGAGACGGAGTCTCGCTCTGTCGCCGGGGCTGGAGCGCAGTGGCCGGATCTCAGCTCACTGCAAGCTCCGCCTCCCGGGTTTACGCCATTCTCCTGCCTCAGCCTCCTGTGTAGCTGGGACTACAGGCGCCTGCCACCTCGCCCGGCTAGTTTTTTGTATTTTTTTAGTAGAGACGGGGTTTCACCGTGTTCGCCAGGATGGTCTCGATCTCCTGACCTCGTGATCCGCCCGTCTCGGCCTCCCAAAGTGCTGGGATTACAGGCTTGAGCCACCGCACCCGGCCAGACCCTGTTTTTAAAAAGACAAAAGTTCTTCTGCTGTTTAATTGTTACAAAGTGAATTTCAGTTCCTTGTCTAGAACAGTGATGTATTACAGTGGGTTTGACATGTTGCATTGTAATGGGCTCAGTGAGTTTTAGTTGAATGAATCAACAAGTGAATGTCAACCCTCATCAAACATTTGAGCTAATTTGGGTTTCTGTGCAGTCAGCCTGGGTCAGATAAGGCAGCGCCCCATCAGTGGGAACGCTTTGGCAGGAGGTGTGCTGAAAACGGCTGTCAGCTGGCACACAAGTGAACACAGCTGACGGGAGATTTGGAGTTGGACGTGAAACTCCTGTGGCCCCGTATCTGGCTGGGTCACCCTGGGCAAGTCTCTTTGCCACACCCTGGGGGGTTCAATTTCCTTCTCTGATAAATGGGGCTACTGAGGTCCACGTCTCAGGTGGTTGTGAAATGATTTGTGTAGAGCACTTTTGCAGGGCCTGTTATATAGTAATCAATGTGTGTTCTTTCCTCCCTGCCCCAGGTGGAACTCAGTCCCACTTTGACAAGGATGAAACGGGAAGGGCATAGATGCCCTGCTGGCTTTTGTCTCTGGGGTCGAAAACCCAAAATGCTCCCAGGATCCCCGCAGGTACTAGGAACGGGGGCTGGCCTGGGAAAATCCCTGCCTTCCATAAAAATTTGCCCTCCCAGTTTCACCATATTATGTCAGAGACATGAAGAAAAGATTTTTTTTTTTTTTGAAATGGAGTCTTGTGGCCGGGCGCGGTGGCTCAAGCCTGTAATCCCAGCACTTTGGGAGGCCGAGACGGGCGGATCTCGAGGTCAGGAGATCGAGACCATCCTGGCGAACACGGTGAAACCCCGTCTCTACTAAAAAAAATACAAAAAACTAGCCGGGCGAGGTGGCGGGCGCCTGTAGTCCCAGCTACACAGGAGGCTGAGGCAGGAGAATGGCGTAAACCCGGGAGGCAGAGCTTGCAGTGAGCTGAGATCCGGCCACTGCGCTCCAGCCCCGGAGACAGAGCGAGACTCCGTCTCAAAAAAAAAAAAAAAAAAAAAAAAAAAAAAAAAAAAAGAAATGGAGTCTTGCTCTGTTGCCCAGGCTGGAGTGCAGTAGCGTGATCTTGGCTCACTGCCAGCTCCACCTCCCAGGTTCACACCATTCTTCTGCCTCAGCCTCCCAAGTAACTAGGACTACAGGTGTCCACCACCACATCTGGCTAATTTTCATATTTTTAGTAGAGACGGGGTTTCACCATCTTGGCGAGGCTGGTCTTGAACTCCTGACCTCAGGTGATCCACCCGCCTTGGCCTCCCAAAGTACTGGGATTACAGGTGTGAGCCACCATGCCCAGCCTATTTTATTATATTTTTTAATAATCCTCAGATTAGGGATGCTACTGTTCATTCTAAGCTCTAATTGCTTTTTAGGTTTTTTTTCCCTTTGGATTTCCTAGAAATACAGAATTCTGTCTCTCCTTTTTAAAGTGATTTTTTTATTTTTATTTATTTATTTATTTTTTGAGACAGAGTCTAGTTCTGTCACCCAGGCTGGAGTGCATTGGTGCAGTCTCGGCTCACTGCAGCCTCCACCTCCTGTGTTCAAGCAATTCTCCTGCCTCAGCCTCCCAAGTAGCTGGCCACCATGTCCAGCGAATATTTTTAATTAAAAAGTTTTTGTTGTTGTTGTTTTTGGAAAGGGAATCTCACTCTGTCTCCCAGGCTGGAGTGCAGTGGCACAATCTTGGCTCACTGCAACCTCTGCCTCCCGAGTTCCAGCGATTCTCCGCCTCAGCAGGACAGTAGCTGGGATTACAGGTGCACACCACCACCCCAGCTAATATTTTTGTATTTTTAGTAGAGATGGGGTTTCACCATGTTAGCCAGGCTGGTCTCAAACTCCTGACCTCAAGTGATCCATCTGCCTTGGCCTCCCAAAGTGCGAGGATTACAGGCGTGAGCTGCTGTGTTCGGCCTTAAAATGATCTTTTCTTGGCCAGGGGCAGTGGCTCATGCCTGTAATCCCAGCATTTTCGGAGGCCAAAATAAAATAAATATTTCCCTCTACATTTAACCCTAGAATCAGAAAAAACAACAGCCCATGAAAAAGTGCAAACTGGTCCGGGATGGGGAGGCAATAGGGATGGGTGGAGACTAAGGCAAAGTGGAGAATTGATTCCCCCTTCCCTTGCCCTGCCCAGCCAAGGGGGCAGTCATCTCTCAGCTCCTGCCAGGCAGCCTGGTTTTTCAAAAGAAGCTAGAAATCCAAGGTTCTTTTCTTTTTTTAATTATAAGTTACATAGGTATACACGTGCCATGGTGGTTTGCTGCACCTATCAACCCGTCATCTAGGTTTTAAACCCTGCATGCATTAGGTACTTGTCCTAATGCTCTCCCTCCCCTTGCCCCCACCACCGACAAGCCCCAGTGTGTGATGTTCCCTTCCCTGTGTCCATGTGTTCTCATTGTTCAACTCCCACTTATGAGTAAGAACATGCGGTGTTTGGTTTCCTGTTCCTGTGTTAAGTTTGCTGAGAATGATGGCTTCCAGCTTCATCCATGTCCCTGCAAAGGACATGAACTCATTCTTTTTTTATGGCTACAGAAACTCAAGATTTTTTTTTTTCTTTGAGATAGAGTCTTGTTCTTGTCGGCCAGGTTGGATTGCCATGGTGCAATCTCGACTCACTGCAACCTCTGCCTCCCAGGTTCAAGTGATTCTCCTGCCTCAGCCTCCAAAGTAGCTGGGATTACAGGTGCCTGCCACCATGCCTGGCTAATTTTTGTATTTTTAGTAGAGACGGGGTTTTACCATGTTGGCCATGCTTGTCTCGAACTCCTGACCTCAAGTGATCCACCCGCCTCAGCCTCCCAAAGTGCTGGGATTACAGAAGTGAGCCACTGCACCCTGCCAAAACCCAAGAGTCTTATGTGAAATTCCCGTTTCTCCATGCAGCAACCAGTTCTGTTTTTTAAAACCATGGAGGCCAGGCCTGGTGCAGTGGCTCATGCCTGTAATCCCAACCCTTTGGGAGGCTGAGGCAAGAGGATTGCTTGAGGCCAGGAGACTGAGACCAGCCTGGCAACTTTGCATAGCAAGACCCCAATCTCTACAAAAACATTTAAAAATAATAAAATAAATAAATAAAAATTTAAAACCGTGGAGGCCAGAAAATAAGTTCTTGGTAGGATTTGTAAGGGTCCCCAGTTGTAATTTTCAATGCAGGAAAGAAAAAAAAAAAAAAAATCAAGAACCAATACAGTGCACAGATGTGATTCCAAAATAGAGATTTATTTATTAAGGATTATTTAGTTTCTGCATAAAAATCACCAATTGTTCCTCATTGGGTTTTTTCTTTTAAAACACACGTCAATTGTTTTGGGGTTGCTTTGTTTGCCCCAGCACTTTAAAAAGTACAGTTGTTTGTAGCGCCAGGAAGAACAGTTCCGGTTAAGGCAGCGAGGCGTTTTCTTGAATCCTAGCGGCTGGAGGGTCCATCTCTCCCCGTCAAGAGAATACACACAGTAGGTAGTTTCTGAGGTTGAAAAATCTGTCCCTGAAGGAAGTAATTCTTCTGAAGAATGAAAACAGAGTCATCTATGGTCAATTGTTTGTGCCCTATAGCTTTGAAAGAAACGCCTCTTGGTCATCAAGGGCTTGCTGGTTAGTTTCAGCTGTAAAACAACAGCAACAACAACAACAAAAAACCAGAAAAAAGAAAACAAACAAAAAAACCTGTCTAGCGAGACAGAAAGAGCAGGATTTACAACAGTGCTGTGAGGCTGGGCTATGCAAACCACATGAGAATACACACCAGTTTGCTTTTAAAAAAAAAAAAAATCCCACATAGGGGCCCTGCATAATTTCAAATCAAACTCTTACTATAGTCCTTAAAATAACCAAAATAGCAATACAGCGAGAGCTTCATAAGGTCACGTGCTTTTTTTTTTTTGAGACTGAGTTTCGCTCTCGTTGCCCAGGCTGGTATGCAGTGGTGCGATCTCAGCTACTGTAACCTCCACCTCCCGGGTTCTAGCGATTCTCCTGCCTCCGCCTCCCAAGAAGATGGGATTACAGGCGTGTGCTACCATGCCTGGGTATTTTTAGTAGAGACAGGATTTCACCATGTTGGTCAGGCTGGTCTCAAACTCTGACCTCAAGTGATCCACCCACCTCTTTTTTTTTTTTTTTTTTTTTTTGAGACGGAGTCTCGCGCTGTCACCCAGGCTGGAGTGCAGTGGCCGGATCTCAGCTCACTGCAAGCTCCGCCTCCCGGGTTCACGCCATTCTCCTGCCTCAGCCTCCCGAGTAGCTGGGACTACAGGCGCCCGCCACCGCGCCCGGCTAGTTTTTTGTATTTTTTAGTAGAGACGGGGTTTCACCGTGTTAGCCAGGATGGTCTCGATCTCCTGACCTCGTGATCCACCCGTCTCGGCCTCCCAAAGTGCTGGGATTACAGGCTTGAGCCACCGCGCCCGGCCTCTTTTTTTTTTTTGAGACAGAGTTTTGCTCTTGTTGCCCAGGCTGGAGTGCAGTGGTGCGATCTCAGCTCACTGCAACCTCCACCTCCTGGGTTCAAGTGGTTCTCCTGCCTCAGCCTCCTGAGTAGCTGGAACTACAGGCATGCGCCACCACGCCTAATTTTTTATATTTTTAGTAGAGATGGGGTTCCACCATGTTGGCCAGGCTGGTCTCAAACTCCCGACCTCAGGTGATCCACCCACCTCGGCCTCCCGCAAAGTGCTGGGATTACAGGAGTGAGCCACGGTGCCCGGCCATCATGTGCTTATTTTTAAAGTGAGGTGGATGACACCATTCCCCCAGAGCCGTGTTCCTCGTTGGCGACAAAACAAAACCAAAAAACCCTAGGACTTGACTTATTAAAAGTGTTAATCAATTTTTACCACGCTGAAATGAAGCTATAAAGTCAGTCTGTGCTGTTGTGAATTCCAAGGAGATTTGGAAGTAAGATCATTATTTATTGGTCCTTTAGAATAGACCAAAAAAAAAAAATGACTTAAAAAACGAGGGCTGTCCCCTGCAGACTCTGGCAGGACCCTGGGCCGCTCTGGGGGACGCAGGCCAGGGGCAGCTCACAGACTTGATTCACAGTGATTCTGGTTTGCCTGTTTCTCCGTGTGGCCACGAGTCAGGGGCGTGTCCAGCGGTGGGCACGCCTACACCTTGTAGTTAAGCTCGGCATTCATCTGGGTGTACATCTCATAGATGACATCGATGGTGGCCGTGTAGTTGACTAGGAAGAGGCGGATCTTCTCCAGGCACTCCTCCTCTGTCACATTCTGCCCCTTGGAGAGTGCTTTCAGGAAGTCGGATTTATAGGGGGCTGCGTACAGTGCTGCCTTGAGACGGGCAAGAAGGGAGGTAGGCACAGCGTTAGCAGGGGCCGAGGAGCCAGGCCAGCAGGCCAGGGTTCTGGGAGGGGTCTTCCCTGGGTCTGTGCTGGACAGGGGGTCTGTGCTATTTGAGGTGTTGGAAGGGAAAGGAAAAGGGAGGTGTATTTTGAGCGACAGCAGGAAGGACATCAGCTTTGGGGACAGACAAGCCTAGGTGCAAATGCCAGTCTGGGCCACCAACTAGCTGTGAACCTTGAGCAAGTCACTTAGCCTCTCTGAGCTTCAGTTTCCTCATCTGCAAAATGGGGATAATGGCTCCCACCTAATTGGGTTGCTTTTATAAGGATTAGGGGGCTTGTACAAAGTGCTCAGCACAGCACCAGGCATACAGTAGGCACTCAGCACAACACCTGGCACACAGTAGGTGTTCAGCATGGGTAAGTCTCTTCCTTCTGGGTTCCTTGCTCTGGAAAAAGGGAACTGCTTCTTCGGAAAACTCACTTTCTGAGTTGGGGAGACGACTGCTAATCATACTGTGGTCTCTCTTTTGTCCTTAGGGGGCCGATACTTCGCTAAATTTCAGGGCTGCTCTCATACTTGAAAAGTACAGAGAATTTGAAATTCACAGAATTTCAGAGCCAGAAGAAAAAAGGTACAACTAGATAAAAAGCTTAGGCTAGCCAGGTGCGGTGGCTCATGCCTGTAATCCCAGCACTTTGGGAGGCCAAGGTGGGCAGATCACAAGGTCAGGAGTTCGAGACCAGCCTGGCCAATATGATAAAACCCCGTCTCTACTAAAAATACAAAAAATTAGCCAGGTGTAGTGGTGGGCATCTGTAGTCCCAGCTACTCGGGAGGCTGAGGCAGGAAAATTGCTTGAACCTGGGAGGCGGAGGTTGCAGTGAGCTGAGATCACGCCACTGCACTTCAGCCTGGGTGACAGAGCGAGACTCCGTCTTAAAAAAAAAAAAGAAAAAACAAGTTTAGGCCAGGAGTTTGATAGGATGAGGAAAGTATAAATACTATTTTTTAAATCTTTTTAGACATAGTCTTGCTCTGTCACCCAGGCTGGAGTGCAGTGGCACGATCTTGGTTCACTGCAACCTCTGCTTACTGGGTTCAAGCTATTCTCCTACCTCAACCTCCCAAGTAGCTGGGACTACAGGTGCCTGCCACCATGCCCAGCTAATTTTTTTTTTTTTTTTAGATGGAGTCTCACTCTGTCACCCAGGCTGGAGTGCAGTGGCATGATCTCGGCTCACTGCAAGCTCTGCCTCCTGGGTTCACGCCATTCTCCTGCCTCAGACACCCAAGTAGCTGGGACTACAGGCGCCCACCACCACACCCAGCTAATTTTTTGTATTTGTGGTAGAGACGGGGTTTCACCATGTTAGCCAGGATGGTCTTGATCTCCTGACCTTGTGATCCGCCCGCCTCAGCCTCCCAAAGTGCTGGGATTACAGCCTTGAGCCACCGCGCCCGGCCAATTTTTTGTATTTTTAGTAGAGACGGGGTTTTACTATGTTGGCCAGGCTGATCTCCAACCTGACCTCAGGTGATCCACCTGCCTCGGCCTTCCAAAGTGCTGGGATTACAGGCATGAGCCACCGCACCTGGCCAAATATTATTCTTTCATAATAAAAGTAGTAATAGCTGGGGTGGTGGCTCACGCCTATAATCCCAGCACTTTGGGAGGCCAAGGTGGGAGGATTGCTTTGAGCTCAGGAGTTCAAAACCAGTCTGGGCAACATGGTGAAACCTTGTCTCTACAAAAAAATACAAAAATTAGCTAGGTGTTGGTAGCTCGCACCTGTAGTCCCAGCTACTTGCGACACTGAGGCTGGAGAATCGCTTGAGCCTGGGAAGTGGAGGTTGCAGTAAGCTAAGACTGTACCACTGCACTCCAGCCTGGGCGACAGTGACAGAGGGAGACCCTGTCTCAAAAAAAAAAAAAAAGCAATAGCTTTGATGTACTGAGTGTAAACCATGTGAACCATGTGTCAAGCACTTTATACTGATTAATTTCATTTATTTAATGCCTATTTTATACCTATTTGAAAAATGAGGATATTGAGGCTCAGGAAGGTAGGATCACAGCCCCCCATTTTTGTGTTGTGTGACCTTGTCTCAGTGTCACTGTCCTCATCTGGGAAATGGGGGTAAGAACAGTGCCACCTTGTGGTGCATTTGTGAAGATTACAATTCATGGGCAGCTCCCCTGGGCCAGGTACACAGGACACACTGTTACTATTGAGGTGCTGGTTTGAGGATTTGTAGGGGCAATGCACTGTGGAGATCTCAAGGGGCCGATGGGAATAGGCTCTGTCTCCAGCTCTTCCGGGGTGGATGGCCCAGGGGCTGCCATGCATCTCACTCTGTGACCAGCTCTTCCTCTTTGGAACCATACTGGTTTCTGCTCCAGCCTGCTTGCAGACTGTACCCCACAGGAACACTGAACAGGGTCCATCAGCCCCTCGTTCTCATGGCCACCAGGGTGGGCAGGCAGAGGGAGCTGCAGCAGAAAGGGTGGCCAGAACAGGCCGGGCAGGAACATGTGGGTGAGATGAGGGCGGCAAGCAGCAGGTGAAGGGCATGGTGCAGGGCAGCCAGAGGGCCTTCAGACATCTCCTGAGCAGGGCTTCCAGCCTGGTGATCAACTGTAGGGCCCTCACCTAACCAGGCAGGGGCTGAAGCCTCACTTCCAGGAGCCCTGGCCAATGTCACCCCAACACAAGCCACCAAGAACGCAGAGGGCCGGTGTCCTTTCAGCAGATGCTCCCAGGAGGAGGCCCTTCTTTCCCCGCATGCCCCATGTGGGGATCCAGGCTGAATTTGAGGGGCCATCAGGCTGGGCCACCTTTGACCTGGGGTTCTCCAGGGCTTTCCCTGTGGTTTCTCTTTTCACCCCACCATCAGGCCTTGCAGGCCAAGGCCCCTAGAGAGAAACACCGTGGAGTATCTACAGTGACACCCGCTGTGGCTTGAATGGGGCTGGCCAGGGCACGGGACGGGGACCTCTCCGTACACTAGCCTCATCCAAATAGATGGGGGAGCCCTTCCTGAGCCCGAGAGGGTAAACACAGCCTCACAGGCCAGGAGGCCTCGGCCAAGCAGGGGCAGAGTGGGGAGCAGAATCTGCAAGCTGGTGGTCCTTTGGGGCCTGTGAGGGCGGCTCACCTGGAAGATCTTCTGCACGATCCAGCCGTGGTACTTCTTGAGGGCCATCTCGTAGGCCTTGGTGGCGTTGACGCGGATGAGGTTGGGGTGGTTCTCGTCCCGCTCCCCGTCGCAGATGCTCTGGAGGAAGACCTGGATGAAGCGGAGGCCTCTGCGGCCCAGGGAGGAGAAGGTTCATTAGGACCGTACACACCCCTGTCGTGAAAGACCCTGATGGACTCTGAATTTGCCACCTACTGTGAGCCAGGAACATGTACACCCCAGAGGGCGTGGTTATTCCCTAATCATCTTTCCCTGCTGCTTACAATAACGTGACCACTCGGCTCCATTCATTATCTCCCAAGCACCTTCTCTCCTCCAGGCCTGGTGCTGGCCCATGACAACAGTGACACTGGCTGTAAGATCCACGAGGGGTGGGTCTGGGCCTGCCTTGTCCATTTCTGTGTCCACATGACCCCCACAGGCTGGAACATGGTAGGCAACCATCAGGCTTGAGGAATGAAGCCACAGTGCTGGCCCTTAAAGGGTTTGCAGACCACAGACTGTGGATATACCGGGCACACTGGCGAGACTGGCCCCATGTGCACCAGGTTCCCTGCCTCCGCTCCCCAGCCCTCAGCATCTTTCTAAGTCTGCTACATTGCTTCTCTGCCTGAGACCTCCCAGAGCATCCTCCAATGGCCACTTGAGCCTTTCCTGAAGGGGTAGGGTGATGTTTCGAGAGCCAGGAGAAGCAGATGGGGTATAGCAAGGAGTCCACATGGAAAAGCTCACCAGGGCCCTCCCCTTAGCACACATCATCTCACCTCTTGCTTCCCTGGGGCCTGTGAGGCTGAGCTTGGCACAATCAGCCCATTTCACAGAGGAAAGCACTGAGGCTTCCCTAGAAAGGCTCAGTCACAGGCCAGGATGTGAACCCTGCCTGCCTCACTGCGCGCCCCCCACCTGGCAGGCTCTTTCCTTCACTGCCCCTCACTGTCCCACTGGGGTCCCCAGGTGAGCTGCTCTGCTCCCTCCCTGCAGTGGGGTGGGGATCAAGTCAGGGTGGGGTGCTCTAAGGGGCAGAAGCACTGGGTTTGAGGGCTGAAGAGTCTATAGCTGGTTGAGAACAGCATGGGTTCAAACCAGCCCATAGGATGTATTTGTGCAAATTAGAACTCCTCCTCACAGCCGGGCACGGTACCTCACACCTGCCTCACATGGATCACTTGAGGCCAGGAGTTCAAGACCAGCCTGGCCAACATGGCGGGCCTGTCTCTACTAAAAATACAAAACTTAGCCAGGCATGGTGGTACACACCTGTAATCCCAGCTACTCAAGAGGCTGAGGCAGGAGAATTGCTTGAACCCAGGAGGCAGAGGCTGCAGTGAGCCGAGAGTGCGCCACTGCACTCCAGCCTGGGCAACAGAACGGGATTCTGTCTGAAAATAAAAAATAAAAATAAAAGAATTCCTTCTCCTCAAGATGGTGTACTTCTACCAAGAAACTGTCATAACATACAAATCCACTTTGTACGTGTGACCAGCCCTAAACAGGACACCTCTGTGCAGTAGGCAACCTGCATAACTGTGCTGGATGACATGGGCACGTGATTTGGCCTCCAGAAGTGCCAGCCGCCTCCTCTGTGAGGTGCGAATAGCTACCACACCTAACTCACAGAATATGAAACCCAATCAGCATATAAAAAGCTTAGCACGATGCCCTGATCAGGGTGTGCTCCTATACTCTGATGGGACTGGAACCAGGAAGCATCACTGTCAGGCAAGCCCTGGCCCTTGGGAGGCCTTTTCCCAGTCATTAACTAGCATCACACTGGAAGGGCTCGGAAGTGACCTTCCCAGCCTGGGGTGACACTGCGGAACAGTGACAGGTTTGCTTTCCCTCTGCAGCACAGCACCCAGGCCCTGCCACCTGAGCCCGTCACCTTTTCAGCCACATCAGCGCCAGTGTGGCCCCTACTTTGGGCCACTCTGCTCCATACATTTCTTTCTCCACCTCCAGGATGTTCTGCAGGGTCCGGAACTTGGCTGGGTTGGTGTCATACACGGCTTTGATTTTCTGAAATGGAGCACACAGGATTTTCCCTTAGGTAAACTGCCCCCCATAGACATCTGGCCCGCACGCTGGGTGAAGAGCACCCTACCAGCATCTCCCGCTCCTTCCTGCCCTCCAGGAACAGCAGGGATAAGACCTGTAACAGTAACTATGACTGTTCACATGAGCAAGGATTTGCAAAATGCTTTACAGGCACTGCCTTATATGATCCTGGTGGCAACCCTGAAGTTGCTGTCATTATCCCATTTTACAGGCAGAGACACTGAGGCTCACAAAAGGGCATGGACTTGTCCAAGGTCACACAGTTGGTACAAAGTTCATGTTCTCCAGCCACTACTGACACTGGCTCAGACACCAAGTATCTGAAGTTTTGCTTTGGTGGACAAGTGGAAATAGGTTCCGAGGATTCCAAGAAGTCCAGGAATGAAGGCCTCTGAGATGGAGCCAGGTAGGCCTGGGTCTGAATCCCAGCTCTGCCACTTACTTGCTTGTGACCTTAAGTGAGTCCTTCTCTTAAGGTCTCACTCTGAGTCTCAGCTTCTTCATCTGTAAAAAGGGGATAACACAGGACCAGCCTCAAAGGGCTGCTGGGATGAAGAAATGAGATCATACAGTGTGTCCCAAGCCCTTGGCTGGGCCCTACATGGATTCTCACGGGCAGTCTATGGCAGGGGAGACGGCATCAGGAACTACCAGGATTGGAGAAGGGGAGGGCCAGACCAGTGCTGACTGCGGACTTTGGGACTTACTTACTTGGTGGGGATAGATGAAAGAACCAGCAGGTTCCTTCTCAGGGTCAACCCTTTAATTAGACTTTGGTCCCAGTCAGGCTAGACTGGTGACCAGATGGCAAGACTGTGGAGGAGGGCAGAGAACATTGAGCCCTGATTGGGCAAGTTTGGGGCCCATCTTCTACGCCTCCATCTCCTTCCTCGGGCTGGGAAGCTTGCAGCTGGGACCATGGTGCTGGCAACCCAGGTAGGCTTAGATTCCTGATGCAAGTCCTGGGCTATGGCTGCCTGACCAGGTACGTACCGTGATGTTGCCGCTTATGTCTGCCTTGATGGGAGTAAACACTGGGGACCCAAGGCAATCTGGGGACAAAATGAGAAGAGAGATTGAGATTACCAGCAAGTGATTTTTCAGGGCCACTGCAGGCCGTGGGGACATGGTGGGTGGGTTACGTGGTGGGTCCCGGGGAGAGCTGAGTTGTTCTGGATGTTACTAAGGCAGCATGGGCTTGGGTGCAGCTCCCAGCTCCATTCTCTGAGCTTCCTGTTGGCAAATGAGGCTACAGCACCAATCACAGAGGCATGATGAGGACAGCTTGAAATAAACAATCCAATCCTAAGACACACATTTGATTCATCTCGAGAATCAGAATGCTATTTGTTTGTTTTTTGGGGTTTATCTTGAGACAGAGTCTTGCTCTGTCACTCAGGCTGGAGCGCAGTGGTGTGATCATAGCTCACCACAGCCTTGACCTCTTGGGTTCAAGCCATCCTCCCAACCTCAGCCTCTGGAGTAGCTGGGACTACAGGCATGCACCACCATATCTGGCTAATTAAAAAAAAATTTTGGCCTGGTGCAGTGGCTCACGCCTGTAATCCCAGCACTTTAGGAGGCTAAGGCAGGTGGATCACTTGAAGTCAGGAGTTCAAGACCATCCTGGTCAACATGGTGAAACCTTGTTTTTACCAATATACAAAAATTAGCTGGGTATGGTGGCTCGCGCCTGTAATCCCAGCTACTCAGGAGGCTGAGGCAGGAAAATTGCTTGAACCCGGGAGGTGGAGGTTGCAGTGAGGTGAGATCACACCACTATACTCCAGCCCGGGTGACGGAGTGAGACTCTGTCTCAAAAAAAAAAAAAAATTTTTTTTTTGCACAGATCTTGGTGATCAGGATCTTGTGTAGACCTAAGCTAATGTGTCTGTTTTAACAAAAAAGATTTTTTTTAAAAAAGTGCTTAACTTTTAAAATAGAAAAAAGCTCATAGAATAAGGATATAAAGAATTTTTTTCTAGAGCTATATAATGTGTTTGTTTTTAATTGTATAAAACATTTAATTTATTGGTCTTTGGGGGGAATTTGATGCATCACCACTATATTAGAACTGAGCCATTAATTCTGTAGCTTCATCAATATTAACTACTTTATTTTTATGATGCTACTGAGGAATCAGTTCTTTCTACAGAGGTTCAAGAGAAAGTCCTTCTAAGAAGTGTGCAAATCTCGTATATTTATTAGATTGGTGCAAAAGTAATTGCAGTTTTTGAATATAAAAGCTTTATCTACTCTGTTGACTTTTTCATCATTCATAACGCTTATTATTATTTTTTTTTCCCGAGACAGAGTTCCACTCCTGTTGCCCAAGCTGGAGTGCAATAGCACGATCTCAGCTGACCCCACAACCTCCACTTCCTGTGTTCAAGCAATTCTCCTACCTCAGCCTCCCGAGTAGCTGGGATTACAGGCACACGCTACCGCGCCTCGCTAATTTTGTATTTTAGTAGAGGCGGGTTTCACTATGTTGGTCAGCCTGGTCTCGAACTCCCACCCTCAGGTGATCCACCCGCCTCTGCCTCCCAAAGTTCTGGGATTACAGGCATGAGCCACTGTGCCCGGCCTCGTTTATCTTCTTAAGATTAGTGGTAACCGGTTTTGCTTTGTTGGTAGCCTTAAAGTGTTTTCAGCTGGCTATGTTAAATACACTCCCGGACTTCTGCCCTCTTAATCTGTTCTCGGCCATTGTCTTCAATAGTAGCGTGCACCTATGTGTGTTTTTAAAGACAGGGTCCTTTGGCAACTGAAGCAAGATAAATAAAAATAAATAAATGCATAAAATAAAGATAGGGTCTTGTTCTGGCACTCAAGCTGGAGTACAATGGCGAGATCACAGCTCACTGCAGGCTTCAACTCCTGGACTCAAGCAATCCTCCTGCCTCAGCCTCCCAAAGTGCTGCGATTAGAGGGACACACCATCACACCCAGTAGAATGTTCTTAAATGGAGGCGTTTTCCTTTCTTGGTGGGTCATAATATATGGGAGCATCGTATAATAGGTAACACGTTGGAGTTGATAAAATGTAGACCTGGAAACTGCCTGGCAGTGCCTGGAACTGCTGGGATCTGCTGAAATGTGAGCAACCTGCTGCCTGCCTCTCCTCCGCTCCCTCTTTTGTCACCCCCATGGCAGGCTGTCACAGGACATCTCACTCCTTACATGCAGGAAGTATGCAGGTTCTTTACTGAGTAGGCTCGATGTGGACTTTACCTTCGAGACTGAAGACAGACTACCGGGCTTCCGTGACACCTTTTCATCGTCCTTGTTGCAGTCCAGAAAAGTGAGCTCACTAAGCCTACTACAGAGCCCAGGGAACAAAGACCCCAGAGCAGGCTAGAGGCGGGTGCCGACCCCACGGGAGTGAAAGGCCAATACCCAGGAGGCCAGACAGGGACCTCAGTGTGTGCGCCAAGTGACCACATGAGGGCAGAGGGCTAGGGGAGGAACTTCCTTAAGCCAAATTCCACCCAGGGTGACCCTGCACACCTGGCCAGCCATCTGGAACATTCTAATTGCAGCTATGAAAAGAGGTACATGAGAGAAACAGCATTAGACACTTAAGGAAACAGCCCAGAGTCCAGTGGAAAGAAGGTGGGCTAGGGATTCAGATAGATGGGGTGAGAATCCTGCACGACCACTCCCAAGCTGAGTAAGTCTCCTCGCCTCTGTGTGCCTCAGTTTCCTCTTGTGTCAAATGGGGCAATAAAAGTACTTATTTCATATACTTCTTTAAGAAATTAAAAATAAGGCACCGAGGCCAGGCGGTAGCTCACACCTGTAATCCCAGCACTTTGGGAGGCCAAGGCGGGCGGATCACAAGGTCAGGAGTTTGAGACCAGCCTGGCCAACATGGTGAAACCTCACCTCTACTAAAAATACAAAAATTAGCCAGGCGTGGTAGCAGGCGCCTGTAGTCCCAGATACCCAGGAGGCTGAGAGAGGAAAATCGCCTGAACCTAGGAGGCGGAGGTTGCAGTGAGCCGAGATTGTGCCACTGTATTCCAGCCTAGCAACAGAGCAAGACTCCATCTCAAAAATAAAATAAAATAAGGCACCAAATACATGTAGCAGAGTGCCCGGTGAGTGCTGAACACTCAGTACCTGGACTTCAATCATATCATTACTAGGGTCAGGTGCTGTGACCCAGCAAATGACATCATTGTGGAAGCCACAGGATCCCCCAGAACCTCCACCGAGTGGGACTCATCCTTGACCTGTGCCCCTGCTGCTTTCTCTGTGCTCCCCTGTGAGGCCCCACTAGAGCCGGGGCTGCCACCTTGCCCTGCTGCAAGCTCCGGGCATGCTGTCCTCACGCTGGGCCATGAGCAGTCTCCTCTTGGCAACTGAGCCTCTTTCCAATGTCTACAGAGGCAAATCTCCCAACAAGGGGCCATGCTGGAGCCTTCCCTATGGTGGTCACGTCAGAGGCTGCTCAGAGGTGCTGCGCCAGGGATGCAGGCAACGAATCCAGGGTGCTCTGGTCTCCCAGACAGGCCTGCCAGGCATCAATGGGGTGACAACTCCATGCCACCCTTTAACCTCACCTGACGGATCACTGACCTTCGCTGCATGTGGAGGCCAACCTGGGGAGGTCATGCCACTTGTTAGCCCTGGAAGGTGTTCTCTTCCAGCACCACTACCGCTGCCTCTCTGGAAGGACCATGCATTCTCAACTTACATAATAACACCGGAGCCAAGATCCTCTTTCCTCCGCCAGTGACTACAGCGCCGCCAGAGGGTGCCAATTCCGACCCTCACAGGGGGCCAGGCAGGTGCCATGGATGGGCTACATGGGGACTGGCAAAACCCATCCAGACATAAGGCTGTTCCTCAGCTCCAGCTGACGGCTTTACATCCTCATCTTCCCAAAATGTATAATGAGCCGGACATGGTGGCATGCACCTGTAGTCCCAGCTACTTGGGAGGCTGAGGTGGAGGATCGCTCAAGCCCAGGATTTAAAGTTGCACTGAGCTATGATTGTGTCACTGCACTCCAGCCTGCGCAACAGAGTGAGACTCCATCTCTTTAAGAAAATTAAAATGTGGGCCAGGCGCAGTGGCTCGCCCCTATAATCCCAGCACTTTGGAAGGTCGAGGCGGGTGGATCACCTGAGGTCAGGAGTTCAAGACCAGCCTGACCAACATGGTGAAACCCCGTCTCTAATAAAAATACAAAAATTAGCCAGGCATGGTGGCGCGCACCTGTAATCCCAGCTACTTGGGACGCTGGGGCAGAAGAATCACTTGAACCCAGGAGGCAGAGGTTGCAGTGAGCTGAGATTGTGCCACTGCACTCCAGCCTGGGCAACAAGAGTGAAATTCCATCTCAAAAAAATAAATAAATGAAAAATAAAAATGCATAATGTACAAAGGCTTACATTAGACTGATGGACGGATGGACAGAGATATGGATAGATAGGCACAGTAAAATATTAATGGTAACATCTAGGTGATAGATGTACGAGTACTATTTACTGTAAAATTCTTTCAACTTTGCCACGTTTGGATTTTCTCATAGAAAATGCTGAAAAAGGCCGGGCGCGGTGGCTCAAGCCTGTAATCCCAGCACTTTGGGAGGCCGAGACGGGCGGATCACGAGGTCAGGAGATCGAGACCATCCTGGCTAACACGGTGAAACCCCGTCTCTACTAAAAAATACAAAAAACTAGCCGGCCGAGGTGGCGGACGCCTGTAGTCCCAGCTACTCGGGAGGCGGAGGCAGGAGAATGGTGTGAACCCGGGAGGCGGAGCTTGCAGTGAGCTGAGATCCGGCCACTGCACTCCAGCCTGGGTGACAGCGCGAGACTCCGTCTCAAAAAAAAAAAAAAATGCTGAAAAAACTAGTGTCAGGGTTTTTTTCTGCTCATAAAATCCTATTTGTTTTTCTACTTTTTTTTTCCAAGTCTGTTTCACCGTTACAGTGATGATAGTCACGTGTGTTACACCTTTGTTTTTTAAACCAACAGTCTTGCCACCAGACTTGAGCTCTGAAGAGGGCAGGGACCAGGTTCCCTGCTACGCCCCCAGC